GTAGCCCCAACATTTTTCTTTTGAACAGCGAAAACCGCAACTTTTTAGCTGCTTCCTGGAAAAAGTTATTGACAAAATGACCATCCTTTTTCTATTTTGAAATGGATAGTAGTTACTTTTACCCTACTTTTACCCCCGTCAGTTGATTCCCTATTTACCATAAAATTTCAGCATGGATTTGCGAATGGTGTCCAATGCTAGGTGTAATTAACTTACTCGATTCCAAAAATGATAATAAGAACATATTAGATTCGTCGGAAGCTCAGCGTCAGACTATAATACCGTCAAAATCTAAGTTCCTCAAACAGTGTCTCAAAGTGATTCTTTTAAAATTGAGATCAATCTAACTCTTCACCTACAGCGTATGAAGAAGAAAGCTTTATGTCATTGGAATCAGCTCGTCGACTCTACAAACTGGTAAGTATCCTATTCGAAACTTAGAGTTACACTTGTGGGCCTTCCCTCGTAAGTAATTGAGAAAATGTATGATATATACGTGTGTAAGATTTTCTATGACAGGCATGGAATCGGGTCAACTTATGAAAAATTTCATGGATTGCTTTGGATAGATAATTTCTACGCATGGATCGTCCCAGTTGCATGGGCTCGATTCCATGCCTGTCTATCTGAAGAAAAATCAAAAACATTTGAATGAGAAGTAACCATGTACTTGCATTGAGTACATTTACTAGTGCGTTCAGCTAAAAACGAAAAGGATTTCACGAGACATCTGTGGGACTAACGACTAGGAAAGATTGAATCAAGATTCTTCCCAAGCAAATATCACCTATGAGAAAAATCTAGATACATTCGTCTGTAATCGGGCGATACACGACTAGTTGTCATCTAGATTACTAGTTGGAAAAGGGACTTTTAACTAGATGCGTCTGCAGGCGCATCTAGTAATAGTTGATTCGATCGATTATCGGGCGATAAATCGATAGGTGTAACTAGAAAAAATCTAGTAATCGCCCAATTACTAGATACCTCAAAAGCACCAACCAAACTTAATTGTAAAGCTAGACATTACCGTATTTTACATGTTTTTCTAGAAATTGTTCACCTAAATCACCAGATATGATTAGGTAAAATTTTCCATCTTGAACTTTTGTAATGAATTTTTCACATTCCTCTGCATCTGTAAACGATGACAGGGTGTGTACATTTTCGGCAATTCTTCGTTGAATACGTATGTTGTTCGTGGAGTCGACATTATTATCCAACCACACCACATCAACTGCTGCATGACGAGCCGGTTTATCAGTAGAATCTGCTTCCTTCGCCTTCTCTTCTAATTCTGAACCAACAGTAAGAAATATTTCGTCCTCTTGTTTCTCAGATTTTGTATGCGATGGCGGTATAATCGACGTTTTGCTCATGCTTTCTCGTCGTTCTCTTTTCCCTACACCTGCAGTCGACGAATAGATGTCTGATATCGGTCGCATACCACCGAAGTTTTCTTTTCTATTCAGCTGTGCAGTTGAACGAGGTGTTGCTAAAGTGGCTGTCAAATCTTGAGTGACCAACGAAATTTGAGGGGGTGCTGGTGTTTCTATCGGTAGCGGAGCGCAAGTTTTCGCATCTTCTTTTTCAGTGGTAGACGGCACACGATCTTTTTCTTTTAGTTGAATATCTGCTGACGCGGCGACCTGAGATGATGCCGATAGTATCCTAGGTAAAACAGGTTTTTCAACAGTTTTCTTCTGAGTTGACTGACTAATTTCAGTTGCTGATGAATCTTCGTGCGGCTTTGGTGTTGATGCAGACGGTATTCTAGGTAAAACAGGCAGCTCAGAAAAATTTTCTTTTCGGTCTGGCGTAGATGGCCTTGATGTTATTCTCAACGGATGTGGAGCTTGATTATTCGTAACTACTTGAGGTACTGACGAAATTGATCCATCTAGCGCCGAAGCTTGTATTATGGGTGCGGTAGCTACTTCTGGTTGTTGAATGTTTGTCTTCTGTTTTTCTGTATTCGACTCATCTTTCCTTTTCTCGTTATCTTTGCTTGCCATTACTATAAACTAAAACGAAAACACAAATTGCAATATGATAGTAGCTTTTTTCTATTTTTCAGCAATCTGTATGTTCTTAAGTGTCTTATTTCAACCCGCGAAAGAATTGATTTCTGCGTGCATCATAAACTGTCCCTGTAGCCACATGGCTGGCGCTTTTATTCGAGAGCTCATATAATGAAATTCGAAGGCTACCTTTTCAACAAAGATAAAATCGAATTAGCGAGCTGCTTTTCACAAGTTTACCTCTCCTTTTAGTACCTCACTTGAATGATTTACGTAAGTCCGAGAGCGCTTGAACTGGTCCTCTCCTTCTGGTGAGCCCAATAAAAAACTGATGGATATTTTCAGTAGAGGCTCCAAATATTTTAGATTTTCAGGTCACTTTGCTACAAGAAGATGTCATTCCCCCACTCTTTTCCTCACTTACACCCTCTCTGATTCCACAACGGCAGATGAAGATGGAAGCATTCTAATTAGCA